TATATATATTATAGCTGCATGTGTGAACCGAGGGAGTGTGCGCTGGCACTGTTGTGAGAGACTGTTTGGTCATTTGGTGGGTTCTCAGGACAGGCTTTCCTAGGTGAGTTAGAAATAATTGATGGAGATTAATGAGGTACCATTTGGTGTGTCGGAGATTAATGAGGTACCATTTGGTGCGTCAGAGATTAATGAGGTACCATTTGGTGCGTCAGAGATTAATGAGGTACCATTTGGTGCGTCAGAGATTAATGAGGTACCATTTCGTGTTGCAGAGATGACTGATGTGTCGGCATGATCGGTCGATGACGCTTGTCCGATGTCATTTCGTCTCTGCACACTGTTGTGTTGGCGAGACATCTAATGATCTATACAGGAGTACATTCATTATGTAGAATAGTGGGCATTAGCTATGATAATAACGCTGTTCTTTCCTTCTTTTTCTATCTTGCAAAATGATGAATATCTTGTCCACTTGTCTTTTGAATAGATTTCTTCGAATTGATGACATGATGATTTGTGCCCTACTTTAGTGTTACTCAATTACTCCTTGCGGTGTGAGGATCTTTCCTCTCTTTATCCTCATGAGCTTTGCGCTATCTTGTGTTAATTCCATGTTTCCAATATATTAAGGTAAACCACTTTTGATATTGCTGGATTCCAGTTGTGGAAAAAGGGTGGTGCAAAATGAGGCTGAAATTCTACTACAGAAAGCGAGCATTAATCGCAATGATTTTGACCTTTAGTTTAAGTAGGGAAGATTTTTCTCTAACTTTGACAGCCAGCTGTGACAAAAACTGCCATAAAATAAGTGAGAAATAAAATAGTGGTAGGTGTAAGTGTTAATACAGGATAGCTCTTGGCTCACTCACACTATGTGGACCTCCTCCTTTGTAGACTACTTGAGCTTTGGGGTTGCTGTTTTTCTTCACTGTTTCTATATAACATATATACATCTCCTTGACATAATTTTTGTGGTCATTATCTGCTCTCATCATATATCTGTCCCCGTCGTTTTGTGCCAGAAAAATTCTGAAATTATGCAAAATGAGCGAAAAAATTTGAAATTATGCGATTCTGTTAATTTTAACAAAGAATGGTAAAAAAAAATAATCAGAAATTATGAAGAAAAAAAAAAGATCAAATTTGGCTAAATTATGCGAGGTGCATGAAAACCACGGGGACGGATATAATGTTTGTTTTACATTTTGAGAACGCTATCAGTACACTTGAGGAGGTCTTGGCAGACCTACAGTGGATGACATTAATCATCTTTCTAGTTTCTTGGGAAGTGATCCGCCGAAGTTCTTTGTCATTTCTTTCAAGAATTTTGTTTTAGCTCTGGGGAATGTTTGAAAACTTTTGATTTTGATACAATGGATGATGAATCAATCGTTGATTGTACGCCCATGTGAAATAAATTATAGAGACAACTGTCCTTGTCTTCTTTAAAGAAACTGAACAAGGGTCCCAAAACTTTTACCTTCGATTTTCTCAAAACGGCATTTTTTGGGATAGTCCCCTTGTATTTTAAAGCGACGAGTTTACATACTTACCCCATCCTGTTGGGCTGAAGAGCACGCACTCAGAGGCTACTTAGACAATAACAACGACAACAACCTCAGCAACAACAACCACAATAATGACAGCAACAACAACAAAAATGACCAGAACCTGGTTCAGTAAAGAAAGATCACGGATTGTTCACTTTTGAACAACAACGACAACAACAGCAACAGCAACCCCAAAAATAACAACAACAACAACAACAACAACAATGACCAGAACCTCATTCAGTAAGGAATGATCACCGATTGTTCACCTTTGATGAAAATGTCACAAAAATGCGATGACACCGTAATAATAATATAGTTCTCCTGTTGTTCCACTTTTCTTCTCTCCTTCATTTGTTCCATTCTCATCCTCATGCTATTCTGTAGCTGGTCAACGTTCTCTCTGTAGTATTCATGATTCTCATATATATATATACATTATATGATAATTCTGATAGAAGTTGGTTTGTCTTTCCTCTTTAGATACTCCGCGTAGAAAGATTTTGCAAGTGATGATATATTATTGTAGTACAACTTTTGCTGTCTCTGTGTGGTATCACTAGCGGGAAAGTGTGAGAGGTTGATAATGGCTATCTATCTACCTAGTCATCATCTTTTCAGCTGGTTGGTTTTTTATCTGTTGAACTTTGATCTTTTATATATAAATATTGTAAAATACAGTAGACATGACACTGTTAAACAATATTATGAATTTCTTTTTACCATGAATGGATTTCAAATTCTCTCTCCCCCAATATTCATATCAGTGCACTTTAAACATGAAATCTGCTTGGCACAAAGGAATTCTCTGGTCCTTTGAAGTTCGTGTTATTTGATTTTACTGGGTTAATTATTATTATTATTATTTTAAAAAAAATAATTTTGGTCTATGTTTAACAATAGAAAGCCTGGTACCGCACCGTATTCAGGGGTGATTAACCCTACCCGTACGTCATGTTTTACTATCGTATCCATACGACGTCGGGAACTCTGTGCTACCACTTTCCAAAGAGGAAATTTATTCGTTAATCCGATCCGTTCGCTTTGCATGGCAGTCTGTCAAAATGATTTTTTGAGAAATTCTGAAAGTTTCAAAGAGATCATCGTACTAGAAGTAGGCCTATTCTAAAATGTGAAGAATACAACCAGAATCATTTTAAAGGGTGCACAGTTGTATTAAGGAGTCTGAAGTCACTGTAGTTTAATTTTCAGTTTTTCATTAGTTTCGCTTAGCTCTTGCGTGAAAATGACTTGACGATCGATATTTTTTTTTAGCCCGTTCGTCGAATGGGTACACAGCTAGTTGTAATAAAATAATCGCTTCTTCTCTGTTTCGGATCCACTACCGGTACGTCCTTGGAAGGAAAAATAAATCATGTTAATCACATCATGTGTCGTGTGAGAGCGCGGGCGAAGCCCTTTCTCATCTAGCTGTTTGGTTTGAGTTTGAGCAATGGCCTTTGAACTTTGTTGAGTAGTTAATTTTTAAAAGCAAGTCGTTTGTGTGTGTGTGTGTGTGTGTGTGTGTGTGTGTGTGTGTGTGTGAGGTGTGTGTGTGTGTGTGTGTGTGTGTGTGTGTGTGTGTGTGTGTGTGTGTGTCAGGTGTGTGTGTATGTGTATATGTGTGTGTGTGTGTGTGTGTGAATGCTTATGCTTCTTCTGAGTGACTGATTGGCAGTGAAGGTGCCGCCGACATCCTATTATTACTATTACTATTACTATTATTATTATTATTATTATCATCATCGTCGACATTATTGTTATCATTATTACGATGAACGTGTCTAATGCATTTTTTATGAACGTATTCCACTTTGAAGAAAGGACGACTTGTCTGTCTATGGTGAGCCACTCAAAATCGTAGAGCATGGGTTACGACATTCTCGTGTTTATTATAATGACTATTATTTTATGACTATTATGTTTGTATGTATGGGTTATGACATTGTGTTTATTATGACATTTGACTTATGTTGATGATGGTTATTATTATTATTATCATAATTGTTATGTTTATGCGCTTACCAATGTGAGCAGATTTTTCTTCATCATGTTTCTCATATTAATATTATAGATGAAGACTACAGGAGGGTTGGGGGAGGGGTGGAGGGGGGAGAGGAATCGGCATAAGTTGTAGGGAAAATGTTGAGGACTCCCTCCTCTTTTGCTATTTTCTTTCCCACTTGTACACACACGACTTACATACACAGAGTGGCCTGGCCTACTGCTGGTCTTTCCATGCACGGCTTGGTTAGAATTTTTTATATATATTTTTTTTTTTTGGGGGGGGGGAAGGGCACTACACGTGGTATGTGACGTGACTGCAGCCGTTTCTTACATAGTACATGTGTTGATGATGGGTAGTTGGTCGCTTTTAAGCACAAGTGCTGTTTGGAGAAAATTGAGGGTAAAGTTTTTTCCCCTTGTTCAGTTTCTTTGAAAGTCAAGGATAATTTTCTCAATAACCAATACACACCATTGAAACTAAAATTCTCCTAAAGGTAGAGCAATATCCACTTTTGGTGAAGCTCAAGATTTCTGGAAACCCCCGAAATCTGGGTTAGCCCGCTTGTCCTTAAAAGCGACCATTTGGAGCAGTATAGTATTCGTTCGGAACAGTCCAAATAATGCTGCATCCAAACAGACAACAGGCAAAAATGGAGAAAAAAATGTGACTTATGCCATTCCCCCTTCTTCTTCTCCCCTCCTCCCCCCCCCTCCTTGAATTTTTCTCGAATGTCTTGAAGATTCACCATTGATGAATGCCGTGGTCTCAGTTCTGTTTTGACAAATTTTGGTGGCACTACAGTATGTCCGACTGGAGAGAATGACAACGTACAGTAAAATTACATATGAAAATGAAAAACCCGAGTCTTTTGAGTTTGAGTTTCTGTGTGTGGTTGGCGTGTGGGGGTGCTGTGGTGGTGTGGTTTGCTCCTGTCCTTTCTATGATCAAAATTCTATCTTACGTCCTTATCTCTTGTCTTTCTTTTTGTGTTTGTTACTCTCTTGTAACATCTATAATCTTCGGCACCTATGTGACCTTATTGTGTTGCAAGTGCCGTAAAATTGATTTTAAAAAACCAACAAAAAAACATTGCTCTTATCCCGCCTCCTTCATTTCTTTGTACATTGTATGTTACTCTCTTGTAAAACCGTCGGCACTTTTAATAACTTATATGATTATATGACCTAATCTAATGCAAGTACTCTAAAACTTATAGAACGAAGCACAATTTGAACAAAGATGGACGGTGGACGTACAATCAATAAGCGCAGGTCAGACAGAAGGTTTCTCCCAGCCTCTCCCTGATGATATCCCGACCACAATACTGCCGTAAGCCGACAAAATGCCTTTTTTTTCTTCATAGCAGTTACGAGAAAAAGACGTCTTTTTTTGTCAGCGTAAAGTGATTTCGAATTTACAGGGTGATAAAAAAACCCCCAACAAAACCCAACTTTTTTTGGTTAATATTTTCCTCCACATTTAAATTATGCGTTTCCAATTTGTACACAACATTAATGGAAGTCAAAAGGAATTTGTGTGATACTATTTTTAGATAAATCCTCGGGATACTTTTGCTCTGCATAGCGCGTAAAAAAACCCAACCCATTTTCAGCTATGTCCCCTTTTTGTAGCATGATGCTCTTGTTTGCATTAGGCCTACCACTAAAAATCCCAACGATTGCGCCATATTGCAAACTACAGTAGTCTAACAGGCCTACAGAAGTTTGCAGACAGTTTTTCTCAAGTTTCCTTTGCCTGCTGAGATCATGGTTAAGGTTAAGCAGAGAGCTTTTTGTATTGAGCATTTCCTCACCACCAACTCATTTCTTAAGTTTCGCACAAGGTACGGAAATAATGTTAAAGTGCCCTTAAGGCCTTCTTTGATGTCAAGGATGGAAATGGTCCATGAGTTAGGACCTGTAGAGGATCAGAACTGAAAATCCTCAGACATAATGACCGCTTCAGGTCAAACACACATCGTTCACACCCATTTAAACGTCAAGGGTGCAGCATTCAGTAAATGAGCCCCATGGGACGTCTTTCTGTAGACAATGTCTGCAGCAATGACTTTCCTACATCTCAACGGTCCGCATTCTCAAGGCAAATCTTCATCTACGACTGTACCATTTTCCTGTTCGCGAAGCTATCTGAGGATAGCAATGTGTTGATGATTCGCCGATCGTCTTGAAAAAGTGAACATTTCCTCTATGACATTTGGTTCCTTGGCAAAGCCCATATTTTATTCACCTTTCAGGTTATATCAACTCCACAAGTGCTGTCTATCTGGGCAACCTCTCCCCTTCCCCACTATTGTCTCTAGAAACAGCTCCATACTGAAAGGTGTACAGCGAGTTTGGCTTTGAGAACTCATGTTTTTAAAAATTAAAGGAAAAGAAAAAAAGACCAATCCTTTCATGACTTTCCTTACAATATATTTTAAATTGGTGCATTTTGCATTTATAGGTGGTTTTTATATAAGCTATTTCTGTTTTCGAAAATAAGTTTCTTCTTTGTGAATTTTATGTAATACAAATTCATTTTGAATGAATTATATCTGTTCCA